ATTAATGGCACCTGTTTTGAACTTGTTATCAGTATACAAGACACCTGTCCACAACCTCAAACAGTCACACTCCAAACTCCACTATGGCCAAGACCAAAGAGCTGTCAAAGGACACCAGAAACAAATTGTAGACCTGCACCAGGCTGGGAAGACTGAATCTTCAATAGGTAAGCAGCTTGGTTTGAAAGAAATCAACTGTGGGAGCAATTATTAGGAAATGGAAGACATACAAGACCACTGATAATCTCCCTCGATCTGGGGCTCCACGCAAGATCACACCCCATGGGGTCAAATGATCACAAGAACGGTGAGCAAAATCCCAGAACCACACAGGGGGGACCTAGTGAATGACCTGCAGAGAGCTGGGACCAAATAACAAAGCCTACCATCAGTAAACACACTACGCACCAGGGACTCAAATCCTGCAGTGCCAGACGTTGTCCCCCTGCTTAACCCCCTCCCGTTGTCCTAGGGTCAAAATGACCCGCCACTGTGTTGAACCAACTTTATTTAATTTTTATATTTTTTGGGATCATTTGTGAGAAGGAGGCAGTGAGACTTTAAAGAAAGTATCACTGCCTCCTTCTCACAAATGATCCAAAAAATATAAAAATTAAATAAAGTTGGTTCAACACAGTGGCGGGTCATTTTGACCCTAAGACAACGGGAGGGTTAAGCCAGTACATGTCCAGGCCCGTCTGAAGTTTGTTAGAGTGCATTTGGATGATCCAGAAGAGGATTGGGAGAATGTCATATGTCATATGGTCAGATGAAACCAAAATAGAACTTGTCGTGTTTGGAGGACAAAGAATGCTGAGTTGCATCCAAAGAACACCATACCTACTGTGAAGCATGGGGGTGGAAACATCATGCTTTGGGGCTGTTTTTCTGCAAAGGGACCAGGACGACTGATCGTGTAAAGGAAAGAATGAATGGGGCCATGTATCCTGTGATTTTGAGTGAAAACCTCCTTCCAATCAGCAAGGGCATTGAAGATGAAACGTGGCTGGGTCTTTCAGCATGACAATGATCCCAAACACACCGCCCGGGCAACGAAGGAGTGGCTTCGTAAGAAGCATTTCAAGGTCCTGGAATGGCCTAGCCAGTCTCCAGATCTCAACCCCATAGAAAATCTTTGGAGGGAGTTGAAAGTCCGTGTTGCCCAGCGACAGCCCCAAAACATCACTGCTCTAGAGGAGATCTGCATGGAGGAATGGGCCAAAATACCAGCAACAGTGTGTGAAAACCTTGTGAAGACTTACAGAAAACGTTTGACCTGTGTCATTGCCAACAAAGGGTATATAACAAAGTATTGAGAAACTTTGTTATTGACCAAATACTTATTTTCCACCATAATTTGCAAATAAATTCATAAAAAATCCTACAATGTGATTTTCTGGATTTTTTTTCCTCATTTTGTCTGTCATAGTTGACGTGTACCTATGATGAAAATTACAGGCCTCTCTCATCTTTTTAAGTGGGAGAACTTGCACAATTGGTGGCTGACTAAATACTTTTTTTCCCCACTGTATAACAAAGTATTGAGAAACTTTTGTTATTGACCAAATACTTATTTTCCACCATAATTTGCTAATAAATTCATTAAAAATCCTACAATGTGATTTTCTGGAGAAAAAAATTCTCATTTTGTCTGTCATAGTTGACGTGTACCTATGATGAAAATTACAGGCCTCCCAACTTTTTAAGTGGGAGAACTTGCACAATTGGTGGCTGACTAAATACTTTTTTCCCCCACTGTAAATAGATACTGTGGGAGGTTCTACTAAGCTAACATATGGAACTGTTTTAAGATGGTCATACCAAGGATCATTTAGCTGTTTGATTTTGAACTTTAGGACCCTTTTAGGTGTGAATAAAATATATTTTAAAAAATTGGGGATGAAACATTGAATTTGGTCTTACTGCTATTAGCCCACATTGAACATATTCATACATGGAAAAACACATAGTCAAAAAATGTATCAAAAGGAAGTTTGTTTTAAAGTGTCTGTACTTGAGAGATATAAGAAAGATCAGGAAATGTAAAAATGTTTTGACCCATATTTAGCCTCTTTGTTTTGGCATTAAAACTACTTCCATATATATATATATATCCATTCAATTTTTAACTGGTACCAAGCTACCTTCAGACGAGTCTTGTGATGCGTCAACCGACATGTACGTGTTCATGAGAGTCTCACCTTTCGATAGAGGTGTTCTGATGCTACAGACAGAAGTTGGCAGATCGGCTGTACCGACTTCAAATGAGTCTCGTGACACTTGTGGGGGTCATAGAGCTAAATGGAGAACACCATCGTAGTGGTCATATTAGTTTGTTCGGACACTACAGAAATTTTTCGGGATGTGTCTCATGGTCTGACAAACTGCTGTAGCTCGGCCACCTTCCACCGCAGATGGAAAAAACGGCATTGGCGGATGCGGTGGATTGAGACGCAGCCCATGCAAAGGAAACAGATATCTCTAATATAAACAGACAGATTTTGATGGGGATGTTTTATTATGCTAGTTAGTTTTCCACGGGGCCACAGACATTTTAACAAGCACTTCAATTGTGTCCCTTGTTATTGCACTAGTCAGCTTCAATCAAGATTAAGAAATATAAAACATATGATTTATATCATGCCCATGGTTTGAAATAGTCCCCCCATTTCACCCTGTCTCACAGTATGGATGAAAACAGAGCTCCCATCGTCCCTTATGTGTACATTAAGCACACTGGTAAAGTGCTAGACGCCAAACCTGTCAGAGTGGTTAGCTCCTGTAACCTGGACATCTACACCTTCCCCTTTGACGTCCAGAACTGCACCTTCACCTTCAGATCCTACATCCATCACGGTAAGACGTCAATGCAACCATGCTTTAGGACTTCTTTGAAGATAAAAGTCCGATACCAAACCCATCGCTCCTTCTCTCTCAAAAAACCTTCCTGACTCTCTTTTGCAATCTAAAATGATAGGTATGAAACATGTTGGTCCATTGAGTCCATTGGAGTTTTTTATATATGACTCGGTGTCAACCAAGGTGTCAACCAAGGGATCCGTTTGGTATTAGGCCCAAGTTTACCATCCCCTCAGTACAGCTCATGTTCTGCTTCCATATAGGTTCAGCCCATTCATCCCAGTATGTCCCATTCCTTTATCTCCCCTGCAGTGTCGGACATAAGGATGATCTTAGGGAAGAAGGTGGAGGACATCCTGAAACACTCCAGGAGCGTGTTGTCCACTGAAGGGGAGTGGGAGCTGATGGACATCAAATCAAAGAAGTACAAGTTATCAGAAATCGATCAGGGAGAAAGCAACCCCTATGATGAGCTCTGCTTCTATGTACGAACCCAAAGCACTGCAATTTCTCAGACGCCATTCATTTGGCTTTACTACTACTGAACGTTGAGTTCTCTATTTTTCTAGCGCTACTTTTGTTTCAGAGAGTACTTCATGTTTCACACATAGGATGCTAACCCAGCTATTTATGGCTTTGTCTTATCTGAAATGGGAATCTACTGCACCACACCAGATCACCCTTGAAGGTTGTCTTTCACCATTGTGTCTCTAAACTGTAGATTGTCCTGAGGCGCAGAGCCACCCTCTACGTGGTGAATCTTCTGATCCCCAGCTGCCTCCTCATCACTGTGGATCTCTTCAGCTTTCTGCTGCCTCCCCAGAATGTGGACCGCTCCTCCTTCAAGATGACCCTTATTTTAGGCTACTCAGTCTTCCTGCTCATCGTGAATGACCTGCTGCCCGTCACAGGAAACACCATCCCACTGATAAGTGAGTATGAAACATATGTACTGGAAACACCATATTTGTCGTAAGTCATAAATGTAGAGGTATATGTTTACTTTGTCTTATTGAATAACCTTGTTAGGTTAAGTGTCTTTTTTGAACTCCTAAGAGTGGCTGAATATCTTCCTCTCTTCACATCCCTCTTCCTCTTGCCCATGCAGATGTGTTCTTCGCCATCTGCTTGGCTCTGATGGTGGCCAGCCTGCTGGAGACTATTCTCATCACTAACCTCCTGGTCGGCTCCAGTAACTTCCACCCAGTGCCTGGCTGGGTCCGAGTGCTCGTCCTGCGCTTCATGGGCACCCTCGTCTGGCTGCCTCAGAAATCCAGAGAGGACATGATCATCCTCAATCCAGTTGCAGGAGGTACCCCTGATCTGATCCCTCCAGGGAGTTACAATTATACAGACTTTTGGGCAATTAGCAGATACTTGTCTTGTCCAACCCAAAGCAATACAGTGAAAACTTTCAATCACAGGCCTGAACAGTAACATAAATGCAGGTATCACTCTGAGAAATGTTTCCAGCCATTTGACTAGGTCCGACCTTAGACAGAATTGTACTATCAACGTACATCAATAATTTATGTCTATAGGAGGTACATTCATAATTTCACCTTCCTCCCTTCCTTCCCTCTTGTCTCTAAGAAACAGACGTGAAAGTCTGCCCTCTAGTGATGCTGGAGAGACAGGTTCAAACAGGAGAACCAGGTGAGAAGGGGGCAGAGGCAGCCGATCCAGCCCTGGCGGAGCTGAGGAAGCTGGGCAATGACCTGCAGTCCATCCGCCTCCAGGTGGCCCAGCATGTGGACGGGAACCAGATCTCCCAGGACTGGATGCAGGTGGGCTACATCCTCGACCGACTGCTGTTTGGCGTCTACGTCATCTTCATCACCTTCAGCTTCATCGTCATCCTCAGCATTTGGAGTAATTCGTACTCCAGGTAAAAACAAATTGGTGGGTAAACGCCATTCGTTGTGAATAAAGTAACACTCCCTAAATGTTCTATGCATTTTTCCACAATAGGTGGCTAAATGTTTGTGTAAAATACAAAATGTGTGGAAATAGCGTTTACCCTCCACTACACCACTGCTTACAAGATTTAGGAGTCTGCCATGTTGTCGACTGCTGGTTAAACAATTACCTTATAATTACCATAACTTTAACAATTGTTTGTTTTATCTTCTGGCTGCACTGAGTAGGTGTGTTGACTGATATATTACAATATTAGAGGAAATCTATTTTCCTTTGTCAAATAAAAGTACTTTCACGAAAACCACTGTTTCATTAGTAACAACAATTCATTGGGGTTATCTGAGACGTTTTCTGAATTGTAATGTTGATGGTGGATCAATGTTGATGATGAAGAAGATCTCTCACACAAGACATGGATCAATGACATGGAAAGTAGGGGATCATCCAAAAACCACATCCTTGTTTGATTAGAGTGTAGACATACAGAAAGTATTATTTCAGTATTTTATTAGGATTCCCATTAGCTGTTACGAAAGCAGCAGCTACTCTTCCTGGGGTCCACACAAACATGAAACATGACATAATACAGAATATTAATATACAAGAACAGCTCAAGGACATAACTAAATGAATTTTAAAACGACACACATAGCCTACATATCAATACATCTACACAATATCTAGGTCAAGATAGGGGAGAGGCGTTGTGCCGTGAGGTGTTGCTGTATTTGCTTTTTGAAACCAGGTTTGCTGTTCATTTGAGCAATATGAGATGGAAGAGAGTTCCATGCAATAACGGCTCTATATAATACTGCACACTTTCTTGAATTTGTTCTGGATTTGGGGACAGTGAAAATACCCCTGGTTGAATGTCTGGTGGGGTAAGTGTGTGTGTCAGAGCTGTGTGTAAGTTGACCATGCAAACAATTTGGAATTTTCTTCTAAAAAGAATAAGTGATGCAGGCAGACACTCCTCAACTCTTAGCCAGGAGAGACTGGCATGCATAGTATCTACAGTATATTACCCCTATGATTACAATGAAGAGTAAGACGTGCCACTCTGTTCTAATCCAGCTGCAGCTTAACTAGGTCTTTCTTTGCAGCACTTGACCACATGACTGGACAATAATCAAGATAAGATAAAACTAGAGCCTGCAGGACTTTTTGGAGTGTGGAAGAGCATCTCTTTATTACGGACATACCTCTCCCCATCTTTACAACCACTGAATCTATATGTTTTGACCATGACAGTTTACAATCTAATGAAACACCAAGTTATTTAGTCTCCTCAACTTGTTCAACAGCCACACCATTCATTACCAGATTCAGCTGACGTCTAGAGCATAGGGAATGATTTGTACCAAATACAATGCTCTTAGTTTTAGAGATGTTCAGGACCAGTTTATTACTGGCCACCCATTCCAAAACTGACTACAACTCCTTGTTAAGGGATTCAGTGACTTCATTAGCTGTGGTTACTGACACGCATATGGTTCAATCATCAGCATACATGGACACACAGGCTTTGTTTAATTCCAGTGGCTCGTCATTGGTAAAAATAGAAAAGAGTAGAGGGCCTAGAGAGCTGCCCTGCAGTACACCACAACCTACATGTTTGACATTAGAGAGGCTTCTATTAAAGAAAACCCTCTGAGTTCTATTAGATAGATAGCTCTTAATTCTCAATTCTATTAGATAGATAGCTCTTAATTCTCAATTCGGCAGAGGTTGAAAATATATAAAACATACAGTACCAGTCAAAAGTTTGGACACACCTAGTCATTCCAGGGTTTTTCTTTATTTTTACTATTTTCTACATTGTAGAATAATAGTGAAGACATCAAAACTATGAAATAACACATATGGAATCATGTAGTAACCCAAAAAGTGTTAAACAAATCAAAATATATTTTATATTTGAGATTCTTCAAATAACCACCCTTTGCTTTGATGACAGCTTTGCACACTCTTGGCATTCTCTCAACCAGCTTCACCTGGAATGCTTTTCCAACAGTCTTGAAGGAGTTCCCACATATGCTGAGCACTTGTTGGCTGCTTTTTCTTCACTCTGCGGTCCGACTCATCCCAAACCATCTCAATTTGGTTGAGGTCTGGGGATTGAGGGGGCCAGGTCATCTGATGCAGCACTCCATCACTCTCCTTATTGGTCAAATAGCCCTTACACAGCCTGGAGGTGTTTTGGATCATTGTCCTGTTGAAAAACAAATGATAGTTCCACTAAGCCCAAACCAGATGGGATGGCGTATCGCTGCAGAATGCTGTGGTAGCCATGCTGGTTAAGTGTGCCTTGAATTCTAAATAAATCACAGACATTGTCACCAGCAAAGCACCCCCACACCATAACACCTCCTCCTCCATGCTTTACGGTGGGAAATACACATGCGGAAATTATCCGTTCACCCACACCGCGTCTCACAAAGACACGACTGTTGGAAGCAAAAATCTCCAATTTGAACTCCAGACCAAATGGCATATTTCCACCGGTTTAATGTCCATTGCTCGTGTTTCTTGGCCAAAGCAAGTCTCTTCTTCTTATTGGTGGCCTTTAGTAGTGGTTTCTTTGCAGCAATTCGACAGTGAAGGCCTGATTCACACAGTCTCCTCTGAACAGTTCTGTGAAGCATTTATTTGGGCTGCAATTTCTGAGGCTAGTAACTCTAATGAACTTATCCACAGCAGCAGAGGTAACTCTGGGTCTTTCTTTCCTGTTGCGGTCCTCATGAGAGCCAGTTTCATCATAGCGCTTGATGGTTTTTGCTAGTGCATGTCTTAAAGTAATGATGGACTGTCGTTACTCTTTGCTTATTTGAGCTGTCCTTGCCATAATATGGACATGGTCTTTTACCAAATAGGGCTATCTTCTGTATACCACCCCTACCTTGTCACAACATTTTACATTTACATTTTAGTCATTTAGCAGACGCTCTTATCCAGAGCGACTTACAGGAGCAATTAGGGTTAAGTGCCTTGCTCAAGGGCACATCGACAGATTTTTCACCTAGTCGGCTCGGGGATTAGAACCAGCGACCTTTCGGTTACTGGCACAATGCTCTTACCCACTAAGCTACCTGCCGCCCTGCCTCACAACACAACTGATTGGCTCCAACGCATTAAGAAGGAAATAAATTCCACAAATTAACGTTTAAGATGTAACACCTGTTAATTGAAATGCATTCCAGGTGACTACCTCATGAAGCTGGTTGAGATAATGCTAAAAGCTGGCAAAGCTGTCATCAAGGCAAAGGGTGGCTATTTGAAGAATATCAAATATAAAATATATTTTGATTTGTTTAACACTTTTTTTCGTAACTACATGATTCCATGTGTTATTTCATAGTTTTGATGTCTTCACTATTATTCTACAATGTAATAAATAGTAAAAATATAGAAAAACCCTTGAATGAGTAGGTGTGTCCAAACTGTTGACTGGTACTGTACATTTTCTCAACAACAGGTTATTGTCAATCATTTCAAGGGCTGCACTGAAATCTAACAGTACAGATTCTACGAACTTCTTATTATCAATTTATTTCAACCAATCATCTGTCATTTATCTCAATGCAGTACATGATGAGTACCCTTCTCTATAAGCATGCTGAAAGTCTGTTGTCAATTTGTTTACAAGCTATAGTATTGTATTTGGTCAAACACCATTTTTTCCAACCATTTGCTAAGAGCTGGCAACAAGCTGATAGGTCTGCTGTTAGAACCAGTAAAGGCCGCTTTACCACTCTTGGGTAGCGGAATGATTTTGGCTTCCCTCCAGGCCTGAGGACAAACACCTTCCTCTAGACTCAGATGAAAGATATGACAGATAAGAGTGGCCATAGAGTCAGCTACCATCCGCAGTAGTTTTCCATCTAAGTTGTCAATGCCAGGAGGTTTGTCATTATTGATCGATAACACACATTTTTGAGGGAAGTAACACGCGCTGCTGTTTTGGGGTTGTGGGTGGAGCTCTGCAGTTCAGGTAGGCCTATTTATATCCATTCCCCCACGTTGATATTGATATATCTTGTTTCATTTATACATTTGATGTGTCCTTTACCTGTGCTAAACCTGTCCCCCGCAGAAGTTGGATAGGAGGGACGGGGACACAGGAGCTACAGAGCTATAGATGGTAGAAAACCATCTTGTTCAGGCCATGAATATTGAACAATTATTTTGTAACGGTACGTTGATAGATTGTGCTCTCTCCTCTTATAGAAGCTTGTACCAATCACTGTTTCCTTTAGGGGTTTTGTACTGGAGATGTTTAGATGTGTGATTCCAAAAATTGTCCAAATTGGTGAAGTGAAATGAAAAAAATAACATGTTTCAAAAAATTATAAAAAATAAATAACGGAAAAGTGGCGCGTGCATATGTATTCACCCCCTTTGCTATGAAGCCCCTAAATAACATCTGGTGCAACCAATTACCTTCAGAAGTCACATAATTAGTTAAATAAAGTCCACCTGTGTGCAATCTAAGTGTCACATGATCTCAGTATATATACACCTGTTCTGAAAGGCCCCAGAGTCTGCAACATCACTAAGCAAGGGGCACAACCAAGCAAGCGGCACCATGAAGACCAAGAATCTCTCCAAACAGGTCAGGGACAAAGTTGTGGAGACATACAGATCAGGGTTGGGTGATTAAAAAAATATCAGAAACTTTGAACATCCCACAGAGCACCATTAAACCCATTATTAAAAAATGGAAAGAATATGGCACCACAACAAACCTGCCAAGAGAGGGCCGCCCACCAAAACTCACGGTCCAGGCAAGGAGGGCATTAATCAGAGAGGCAACAAAGAGACCAAAGATAACCCTGAAGGAGCTGCAAAGCTCCACAGCGGAGTATCTGTCCATAGGACCACTTTAAGCCGTGCACTCCACAGAGCTGGGCTTTACAGAAGAGTGGCCAGAAAAAAGCCATTGCTTAAAGAAAAAAATAAGCAAACACGTTTGGTGTTCGCCAAAAGGTATGTGGGAGACTCCCCAAACATATGGAAGAAGGTACTCTGGTCAGATGACACTAAAATTGAGCTTTATGGCAATCAAGGAAAACGCTATGTCTGGCGCAAACCCAACACCTCTCATCACCCCGAGAACACCATCCCCACAGTGAAGCATGGTGGTGGCAGCATCATGCTGTGGGGATGTTTTTCATCGGCAGGGACTGGGAAACTGGTCAGAATTGAAGGAATGATGGATGGCGCTAAATACAGGGAAATTCTTGAGGGATACCTGTTTCAGTCTTCCAGAGATTTGAGACTGGGACGGAGGTTCACCTTTCAGCAGGACAATGACCCTAAGCATACTGCTAAAGCAACACTCAAATGGTTTAAGGGGAAACATTTAAATGTCTTGAAATGGCCTAGTCAAAGCCCAGACCTCAATCCAATTGAGAATCTGTGGTATGACTTAAAGATTGCTGTACACCAGCGGAACCCATCCAACTTGAAGGAGCTGGAGCAGTTTTGCCTTGAAGAATGGGCAAAAATCCCAGTGGCTAGATATGCCAAGCTTATAGAGACATACCCAAGAGACTTGCAGCTGTAATTGCTGCAAAAGGTGGCTGTACAAAGTATTGACTTTGGGGGGGTGAATAGTTATGCAAGCTCAAGATTTCAGTTTTTTTACTTATTTCTTGTTTGTTCACAATAAAAAATATTTTGCATCTTCAAAGTGGTAGGCATGTTGTGTAAATCAAATGATACAAACCTCCAAAAATCCATTTAAATTCCAGGTTGTAAGGCAACAAAATAGGAAAAATACTTTCGCAAGCCACTGTAGGACAGCTTAATGCTGCCGCATTTATTTCTTGGTCTGACGAGATAAAATTGATGGTTTCTGTTCAAATGTAACATGTTTCAAGATAAACTGTAGTTTGTTTGTATCCTGTTTAGTGAATGATTACTGTGAGTATTAATGGAGTTTAGGCCATGAAACTGTGTGTATGCTAATTTGGAAAGGTTGACCTAATACTCACCCAAGATGGCGCCGGAGGAGATGGCTGCCGTTTTATGGCCCTCTAACCAATTGTGCTATTATGTGTGTTTTTTCGCATTATTTGTAATTTATTCTGTACATAATGTTTCTGCCACCGTCTCTTATGAACAAAAAGAGCTTCTGGATATCAGGACAGCGATTACTCACCTCGTATTGGACAAAGATGTTTTCTTCAACGAGTCGGACGCAAAGGATATTCTACAGCCACCCGACAAGGCCCAAATTCCTGTCATTCACATGAGAAAGAGACAGAGATATCGTGGACGTAGGTCGGGGTGCCTTGTAAGGATACGACGGCGAGCGAGTAATCTGCATCTCCCGTCAATCCTATTAGCCAACGTACAATCATTTGAAAACAAAATGGACGACCTAAGATCAAGGATATCCTACCAACGGGACATAAAAAACTGTAATATCTTATGTTTCACCGAGTCGTGGCTGAACGACGACATAGATAACAAACAGCTGGCGGGATATACGCTACATCGGCAGGATAGAACGGCTGACTCTGGTAAGACAAGGGGTCGCGGTCTGTGTATATTTGTAAACAACAGCTGGTGCATAAAATCTAATACAAAGGAAGTCTCTAGGTTTTGCTCACCTGAGGTAGAGTATATCATGATAAGCTGTATACCACACTATTTTCCAAGAGAGTTTTCTTCTATATTTTTCGTAGCTGTCTATTTACCACCACAAACCGATGCTGGCACTAAGATTGCACTCAATGAGCTGTATAAGGCCATAAGCAAACAGGAAAACGCTCATCCAGAGGCAGCGCTCCTAGTGGCCGGGGAATTTAATGCAGGGAAACTTAAATCCGTTCTACCTAATTTCTACCAGCATGTTAAATAGAGGGCAAGAGGATGAAAAAACTCTAGACCACCTTTACTCCACACAGAGACACGAACAAAGATCTAACTCGCCCTCTATTTGGCAAATCTGACCATAATTATATCCTCCTGATTCCTGCTTATGAACGAAAACTAAAGCAGGAAGCAACAGTGACTCGGTTAATAAGGAAGTGGTCAGATGACGCAGATGCTAAGCTACAGGACTGTTTTTCTAGCACAGACTGGAATATTGTCCCGGATACTTCCGATGGCACTGAGGAGTACACCACATCAGTCACTGGCTTCATCAATAAGTGCATCGATGATATCGTCCCAACAGTGACCGTACGTACATACCCCACCCAGAAGCCATGGATTACAGAAAACGTCCGCACTGAGCTAAAGGGTAGAGCTGCCGCTTTCAAGGAGCGGGACTCTAACCCGGACGCTTATAAGAAATCCTGCTATGCCCTCCGACGAACCATCAAACAGGCAAAGAGTTATGGTATGGGGGTGCTTTGCTGGTGACAATGTCTGTAATTTATTTAGAATTCTAGGCACACTTAACCAGCATGGCTACCTCAGCATTCTGCAGCGATACGCCATCCCATCTGGTTTGTGCTAGTGGGACTATCATTTGTTTTTCAACAGGACAATGACCCAAAACACCTCCAGGCTGTGTAAGGCTATTTGACCAAGAAGGAGAGTGATGGAGTGCTGCATCAGATGACCTGGCCTCCACAATCCCCCGACCACAACCCAATTGAGATGGTTTGGGATGAGTCGGACTGTTGAGTGAAGGAAAAGCAGCCAACAAGTGCTCAGCATATGTGTGAACTCCTTCAAGACTGTTGGAAAAGCATTCCAGCTGAAACTGGTTGAGAGAATGCCAAGAGTGTGCAAAGCTGTAATCAAGGCAAAGGGTGGCTATTGGAAGAATCTCAAATATAAAACACATTTTGATTTGTTTAACACTTTTTGGGTTACTACATGATTCCATATGTGTTATTTCATAGTTTGATGTCTTCACTATTATTCTTCAATGTAAAAAATAGTAAAAATAAAGAAAAACCCTTGAACGAGTAGGTGTGTCCAAACTTTTGACTGGTAGTGTACATATTACCTCAATTACGTCGACTAACCGGTGCCCCCGCACATTGACTCTGTACCTGTAACCCCTGTATATAGCCTCCCTACTGTTATTTTATTTTACTACTGCTCTTTAATATATATATTTTTTTTTAACTGATCAATTTTTTACTTAACACTTGTTTTCTTAAAACGTTATTGTTGGTTAAGGGCTTGTAACTAAGCGTTTCACTGTAAGGTGGCTAAATGTTTGTGTAAAATACAAAATGTGTGGAAATAGCGTTTACCCTCCACTACACCACTGCTTACAAGACGTAAGAGTCTGCCATGTTGTCGACTGCTGGTTAGATTTAAAAACAATTACCTTATAATTACCATAACTTTTACAATCATTTGTTTTATCTTCTGGCTGCACTGAATAGGTGTGTTGACTGACATACAGTGGGGAGAACAAGTATTTGACACACTGCCGATTTTGCTGTGAGAGACGGAATCTAAATAAAAAATCCAGAAAATCACATTGTATGATTTTTAAGTAATTCATTTGCATTTTATTGCATGACATAAGTATTTGATACATCAGAAAAGCAGAACTTAATATTTGGTATATACGTTTCCTGTAGGTCTTGACCAGGTTTGCACACACTGCAGCAGGGATTTTGGCCCACTCCTCCATACAGACCTTCTCCAGATCCTTCAGGTTTCGGGGCTGTCGCTGGGCAATACGGACTTTCAGCTCCCTCCAAAGATGTTCTATTGGGTTCAGGTCTGGAGACTGGCTAGGTCACTCCAGGACCTTGAGATGCTTCTTGCGGAGCCACTCCTTAGTTGCCCTGGCTGTGTGTTTCGGATCGTTGTCATGCTGAAAGACTCAGCCACGGCCCATCTTCAATGCTCTTACTGAGGGAAGGAGGTTGTTGGCCAACCATCCATCCTCCCCTCAATACGGTGCAGTTGTCATGTCCCCTTTGCAGAAAAGCATCCCCAAAGAATGATGTTTCCACCTCCATGCTTCACGGTTGGGATGGTGTTCTTGGGGTTGTACTCATCCTTCTTCTTCCTCCAAACACGGCGAGTGGAGTTTAGACCAAAAAGCTCTATTTCTGTCTCATCAGACCACATGACCTTCTCCCATTCCTCCTTTGGATCATCCAGATGGTCATTGGCAAACTTCAGACAGGCCTGGACATGCGCTGGCTTGAG